ACCTGGACACATCCTGAACAAACCTGGATATGTTATGTCCTGCTCAAAGATCCTCCTGAACAGACCTGGACACATCCTGAACAAACCTGGATATGTCCTGCCCACATCTGGACACGTCCTGCCTGGATCTGGACACATCCTGCCCAAACCTGGACACGTCCTGCCAAACCTGGACACATCCTGCCACATCTGGACACGTCCTGAACAAACCTGGACCCGTCTTGCCCAGACCTGGACATGTCCTGCCCAAACCTGGACACGTCCTGCCTAAACCTGGGCATGTCCTGAACAAACCTGGATATGTCCTGCCCACATCTGGACACATCCTGCCTGGATCTGGACACGTCCTGCCAAACCTGGACATGTCCTGCCAAACCTGGACACGTCCTGCCAAACCTGGACATGTCCTGAACAAACCTGGACACGTCCTGCCCAGACCTGGACGTGTCTGCCCTCTCTGCTCCCAGCCTCGGGTTTTGGGCACCTGCCCTTGGTGGCCCTGCTTGTGCCCTCATGTCGCTGCCTCACAAAGACCACCACCACCAGCATTCTCACGGCACGGCATGGCACGGCATGGCACGGGTCACCGCGGTCCCCACCTTGCCTCCAACAGCCCTAGGGGCTGATGCAAACCCCGGGGATAGGGGAAACCAGCGGTGCCCATTGGCACCAGCCCCTCTCAGGGGGTGCCCGTGTCCTGTCATCGCTCCCAGGATCCCACCCCGCTTCGGTGGGATGGGATTTTGCAGGATGGAGGTCTCACAGACCAGACTTCCCACAAGGGTCCTGCTGCTCCTAATCCAGAGGGAGGAAGACCCAGTTTGGCGTTTGGGGTCCCGGTTCCACCTGCCTCCCTCCAGCCCCCACGGCTTCAGCACCCCGAGGGGGTCACCCCAAAAGCCTGGCAGGGATGGTGGGGGCAGCTGAAGCCAGCGAGGTCCAGGCCAGTTGGTTCACACTGCAAGAAGGGGTCACCAAGGGCATCCTCGTGGTGGGAAGGAAGGGGAAAAGCTCGAGGAGCCGGCTCGGTGGGCGCTGCAGAAAAGGGATGGGTGCAGGAGGAGGGGGCTGTGTTTAGTTATCGTTATTGCTGGTGAATTAGACCAACAAGCCATTTTTAGTCACCTATCAAGGAAGATACAAGTCAGAGCAAATAGTTAAGGTCATGGGCATTTTTCTTGTTTTTTGTTTTTATTATTTTTTTTTTAAAGATTTTTATATATATACATATATTTAAAAAGAGGAAAAAAAATTACGCAAATTTGTTGTTTAAGCCCCGCAACCGGGCTCCCCATGGATGCCAACAGGCAGGGCCCAGGCTGCCCCTCTCCGGGTGCCCCACGGGGCCAGGGAGAGGCCCGAGCCCCCCGAGTTCCCTGCAGCCCCCACTCGAGGCAGAGGTAGCTCTCGGTGCATTTACAGCGCCTGTTTTTTCTTTCTTCCAAAGTTGCTACATCAAAATATGGAGTCGGTGGGGGGTACAGCGGGAAGCAGGGGACAGGGGAAAATCAAAATAAAAACAGGGGCCGAAATACTTCTATTCATTTTAAACTAGAACTGCTACATCAAGCTTTTTTTTTTAATATATATGTATATGTATATATATATGTGTATATATATATATATATATAAAGGTTATTGGAACTGAAGATTTTATTAAAGGCCAACTTGGAGACTTGAGTAGGAACGTCATCTGCAGAGAGGAGCAGCCCCCCCAGGACAGCCCCACTCTGGTTCCCAACAGCAAGCATTGGACGTTTGTTTGGGTCATGATTCTTTTTTTTTTTTCCCTTCTTTTTTTTTGTTTTTCTTTTTTTTTTTTTAAAGAAAGGGGTTTTGTCTTTTTCTCTAACATTTTTTTTCAGCATGCAGGAGGCTTTTACATCGTTTTCGCTTGTTAAGGTGAGGGAGGAGGTACAAGGAGCAGAGGAGAGCCCCCTGTACCTTCCCCATTCCCCACCCCCTACAGTCAGTGCTAGAACAGGTCCCCCCACCCCAAGTCCCCAACACAGGGGTCTCCTTCCCCCCTCCCCACTCCCACCCACCTCTTCACAACCTGGCATCAAATAAAGACATTGATCAAGAACTTGCTCACATTACCACGAACAGACTCCACTCAGCCAAGAACAACTACTCACTCACTAACACGGGGGCTGCGGCCGCCCCCTCCAGCCCCAACACCAACGGTTCTGAACGCCCCTCCGAAGGGTGGCTGACCCCCCTGCCCACCCCCCGACCCCCACCCCCCGCCCCCCAGCTCCTGCTTCGACCACTCTCTCTACATCAGCGGGAGAATTCTGCGCCGTGAAGGGATAAAATGCAACCCTGGGGTGGGGAGGGCAGGACGGGATGGAGGAGGGGGCGCCGGGGAGGGGAGAGGTTCCCAGAGAACAGCAGTGCCCCCCTCTCCCTTCCCCTCCCTTCACCGGGACCAAACGGAGGCCAGATTTTGAACGAGAATGGGTCAGTTTTGGGAAGGATGTGGCCAGGGCTCCTCTGCTGAGGGGAGGAACGGCTGTGCCCCAGGACAATTCGGGACATGGGGGCTCTGGGGGTTCATCCAGAGCAGCCCAGACCCCCATCACCCTACAGAGCCCACACCAGAGGGTGCAGAACACGGCGCCTTCCCCCAGGAAGTGCTCGCATCCCAACCTTCTCCTGGTGTGAAAGGCTCTGCTGCAGGGCCGGGACAACCGCCTGGCCAGGGATGTCCTGGAGCTTTGGGGAGGAGGGGAGTACCAATCCTGCCTGCTTTTGTCTTTACTGTTTCCAAAACATCAGCATCCACTACAGCCTGGGAACATTGTCCACCCCTCCAATCTGCCCCTACGGAAGAGATTCGCGTCGATGCAAAACAGTGGAGGCGTCCCACCATCCCACCATCATTCCAAACCCTCCAACTGGTATCTGAAGGTCAGAAGTGGATCTTTACCAGCACAGACAAAGCACCAGCACCACCCGCCCCAGCAGAGTGAGCTCAGCCCCTTCAGCGACTGCAGCCACGGCTGGCATGAGCCCGCTGTGCCAGGGCACAGGCAGCACTGGGAGCAAGCAGCAGCAAACCAGAAGGGAGGATGTTCCCAGGAACATTACCACGATGAAAAGAAAGTCTCCTGTAACTGAAGGGAATAAAAAAATCTCAGGTGATTTTTTTTTTTGCTTGTTTGTTTGGGTTTTTTTTTTTTTTGTGTGTTAGAACTGTCTGCGCCAAGTTGTGAAACTTGTTGGTTCAGTTCTAAATCAGGGTCCAGGATCTGTGAGCAGAAGTTGAGGGGTAGGAAATGGGGGAAGCGGTGGTAGTGGGAGAAAAATTATATATATGGGTTTATATACACACATATATATATATATAGGTGCTTGATTAATTAAGTGCCTATATATATATATACACACATATATTTATAGCTGGGTGTACTGGTACTCAATAGGTCAATCCAACACATTTTGAACATCACAGCATTTTGGCATCCACAGACCAGCTGAACAAACCTGATGGAGTGAAGGTGCTGGCCTGCACCTTGCATGCGTTGGCACGGGAGCCAGATCTGAAGCCCATCCTCTCCCACTTCCCAATGGTTTTAAAGTATCTCATTTAACAAAACCAGGAGTCTTGAAATGATTAAAGGATGTTCAACAAGGCAATTTTTTTTTCTGTTTTGTTTCGTTCTGAAAAAAATATAATATATAAAAGTGGCCAACCTCAGGAAGATCCAGGAAAAGGACAGCTGAAGAGGTTTTGGTCCATAAAGAAATACTTTTTCTTCTTTTTTGTTTTTTTTTTTTTTCCCCTACTTGGTTTGGGTAACAAAAGTTTTGGTCCAGTTTAAAAACGACGACAACAAAATTATCTCTATAAACTCGGGGGTTTTTTTTTGCTCTCTGTTGGGATGCATGTTGGTTTCATATGGGCTCATTTGCCTGTATTGCATGATCGTCTCTCTTAGGTTTTGGTGCAATAGGTATGTTTTTTAAGAAAAGAAAAGCACAATGTTCTGTGTGTGTGTGTGCGTGTGGCGTGTGTAGCTGCAGCTGGCATCACTTGGAGGAAAGAATGAAGAGTGACCTAAGGAAACGTGGAAGTCGCTGCACTCCCCCCATGGACGGGAACTCGGGAATGCTTTGGAAATACCCTGTTAGTGACTCCTGATTGGACTGATGAACAAATCCCTGCTTGGATAAGGAAAAAAGAACAAAGTTCCAGACTCCACGGTGGCTCAGAATAACAAAATAAATGCTCGTCGCCTGGTGTGATCCCAGTAGGTTCTTCCAAACCTTCTTCAGTTTCACTGGCGTCGTTTTTATTTCTTCACCTTCTTTTTTTGATTTTCTTTTTTTTGTGTTTTTTGTTTGGGTTTTTTTTAGAAAAAAAGGAAAACAATAAAAGTTCTTTAGCTGTGATTTTTTTTTTTGTTTAAATCTTTGAGGTAATACAGTTGTGCCCTCGTTCTAACAGGTTCCCAGAGGTTGATGGTTTCTTTCTTGTTCTTCTAAATCCCTGTCATCCGTTTTCCTTTCTTTCTGTTGTTTCTTTCTGAGCTCCCAGTTGGGCCGACAACCCTGGGGGGAGGAGAGTGGGGGCTTCAGGCCAAGACAAAGGTTGAAGGTGGCTGGAGAAAGGCTGGCAGGGCCCTCCCTGCATCCCTGCTCCCTCCCCGCTCGATCCAGGTGTCCTGGCTTGGTCATCGCCAAGAAGTCCCAATCTCACCACCAAAATAAACTGAACTAAACTGCTTTGCTTGCGAGATCCGAGTGTGCGTTCTGAGTACTTGGTTTACAAAAGACATTGCAGGCTGGAGCGTTGTTCGCCCTTCAAAATTTCTGGCTTTGCTATTCATTTTAATTTTATTATTCACTTATTATTTTTTTAAAAAATAACATACATTGCTTGTAAAATAATTTCTTTTCTTTTCTTCTTTTTCTTCTTCTTCTTCTTCTTTAAATTAATTTATTCTTTCATTCTTTTTTTTTTTGTTCTTCAGATGTCATTATTATTATTATTATTATTATCATTATTATTATTATTATTATCATCATCATTTTTCTCTCACGGACCCCCCCCACTCTCCCTTCCTACCCCCACCCCCCCACAAAACGCCCTGCTCTGTCTCTTTAGGAAAATATTCTAATGGCCTGAGTGGCTGCCGCGTGGCAGACGGGGCACTCGGGATCAGTCCTCTCGCAGATCCTCACGGCGCACTCCATGCAGAACAGGTTGTGGCCGCAGGGCACCAGCGCGGCCGTCACCTCGCTCTCGAAGCACACCATGCACTCGCGGCTGCTGCCCACCGACGTCCGGGCAGCGGCGGGCGTTCCCAGCTTGGAGAAGCCCTGCAGAGGCTCCCCCTGCGAGCGCCGCGGCAGCCCGGACAGGCTGGGCTCCGGGATGGAGGAGGACGGCGAGCGGTGCGAGTTGGGGTGGATGGCGCCGGTGCTGCTGGAGCGCTGCTGCTTCGAGAAGAGCACCGAGACGGGGTTGGTGTTCTCCTGCCCAGCCCACATCGGGGCTCCTGACTCCGGCACCCCGTAGTACAAATCCTGCTTGTTCACACCGTAGTTGGGGAAGAGGTAACCGTAATTGAAGTCGTTTTGGTCGTTCAGCCGGGGGGTCTCATAGACGGGGTCAACAGAGCAGTCGCCGATGCAGCCCAGGCTGTTCTGGCGGAAGGTGGAGAGGGGCTTGCAGCCCGGCGCGGGCGTGTGGACCCGCCAAGCCTCTGAGTAGCGGTTCTCCATGCCGGAGTCGGGGCTGCTGGAGAGGAAGTCGTTCTCGTTGTTGTACTCCAGAATCTTGCCCGTCCTCACGGCGATGTGCGTCTCGATCTCCTCGCGGGCGCGCTCCACGTTGCCCGGCGCGCCGGTGATCTCAAAGACGGGGTCCCGGTCTCGGCTGGGCGTGATGATGTAGGTGTTGGTCTGCTGCTGGATCCGCTTGATGGTGGCTCCCTTGGGGCCCACCACCAGCCCCACCACGCGGTAGGGCACGCGCACGCGGATGGTGACCTGCCCCGGCAGGGTGGGCGCGCTGCCGAAGGTGGTGCCCGCCTTGTTGCGGGAGGCCCTGATCATGGAGAAGTGCTCGGCCGCCGAGATGATCTCCCGCCGGGCCATGGCCACGTCCTCCCGCCGCCCCGTCACCATGAAGACCGGCTCCTCGCCCCGCACCGGGGTCTTGATGTAGGTGTTGGTCTTTGCCCGCAGGGCTTTGATCTTGCAGCCTTGGGAAGAGAGAGAAGAAGGCACAGCAGTTAACCAGGCTGTCCCACGGCTCGCCCGGCTCTGCAGGACACCGGGCTGAGCGGCCACAATCTCCTGTGCCACCTGGCAACCACTGAGCAGGACGTGGAACAAGGGAAAGGCCCTGTCCCCATTAACCCTGAGGGGAAATGCCAGAGGGAGGCCCAACCTCACCATTCCCAGAGACTCCCTCCCTCAGGAGTGCCATGCTCCCTCAGAAGTGCCATCCCCCTCAGGAGTGCCATACTCCCTCATCCCCCAAAACGGGGATCACCATTTTGTGTGCTGCAGCCCACCACACCATCCCCCCCGACTGCTTTCCCTCAGCAATCACCCCTAAGATCTCCCTTCCACCCACCCCAACACCACGGAGTAATGGGGGACCCACCCCAGGTGTCAGTGTCTCTGTGATGTCCCCAGAGCCCCAGGGTGGCCCCCAAGAGAAAATGTCATCCTTGGGCTCTGGGGACAGGGCTGATGCCTGGGGCAGCCTGGAGGACACAGGGGAACAGAGGGATGCTGACCCCACAGCCTGGAGGGCCAATGTGGAAGCCCTTGGCCACCCTGTGCCAGCTCCCAAGGGGAGTCACCTGCCTTGACTCCAGAGGATTTTGGTACTACTGAGGAGGTTTTGGGGGGAACACCGTGAACTTCAGGGGGACAAATCTGGAGGGGAGTTGCAGAGATGCAGCAGTTTGGGCCTCCCCACTGCAGATATGGCAGGACTGCAAATGCCAGCAGAGCTAGCTGGCCAGGGGTAGCAGGAGGCCAGGATGTGCTCTGGGGCTAAAACTGCAAGAAATGGGGCAAGGCTGCCCTCCTGTGGGCCCCAGAGCAGGCTGTGCAAAGACTCCTGCTCCAGGTGCTCAGACCTGCTCCCGAGATCAGTGGCCAAGTGGTGCTTTTGTGCACCAGTATCCACATCCCAGAGCACACCGAGTCCATTCCCCAAATCCTAGAACTGACCAAGCCCATTCCCCCAGCTCCTCACAGCTCAGGAAAAAACAGCTTTCTGCTTTCCCAAAAAGGCCAAAAGACTTTCCAGTGTGTTCTGGCTTCCAAATGATCTTTTGGAGGGTCTTGATCCAGCTGATTGGCTTCAAGTTCCCAGATGACACCAGGATGCCATCAAGAAACTGAGAGATTTTACAGATGTGGCACAGTTCTCTAAACTACTCCTTGCTGCTGTCCTGCCCCTCAGACCCCTGTCTCAAAAAGCCTCACTTGGTGCCCCAAGGCATTTCTGGCACCAAGCTCCAGTGCAGGCTGGGGGTTCCTCTGCAGGAGCTGTGCTCTGAGCTCCGATCCCAAAGGAAAGTTAAAACCTGTGATTCTCCAGTGCAGATGAAGTGAGGTGAGCACTTTGCTGCGGTTTCCCGAGGATTCGGGTGTCTGACAGAACCAGAGGATGAGGACACAGCACTGGAATTTCTGTGAGATCCCCCAGCACCTCCCACCCCACCTTCTCTCCCCAAAAAGACCATCTCCTGTACTTCTTCTGACTACTGACACCAGCAGGGTTTCCCCCACACACTCCCCTGACATCACACTACAACAACGACCCGCAAACGATGCCTCTGCCACCACCAAAGGCAGATTCCTCAGCTCCTGGGCTGGAGCATTCTTATTTACACAGATCCTAATAAACCACAGCACCTCTGAGGCTGCGAGCTCAGGGCTGCCACTCATCCCCAGCGCCCCTGTGAGACACGGGCTGGTGGCACCGGGGTGTTCCCTGGAAAGCAGCACCCCGAAATGTTGGCAAGGACTGCAGCCCACACCTGTGGGGATGGGAACAGCCTGGTGCCACGAGAGCTGGCACAAACGACTCCCAGGGCTCACAGCACCGCGGCAGCCGCGGCATCCAGCGGTGCCCGGCGTGCAGCACGCTCAGCCCAGCCAGCCGTGCTTGTAGAGCTGGCACTGCAGGGGCAGGGCATGGCAGCACAGGGGCACTGGGCACAGACAGGGCACCGCAGGGGCACAGGCATGGCACCACAGGGGCATGGGACATGGGCAGGGCACCGCAGGGACATGGGCACGGCAGCACAGGGGCACGGGGCATGGCACTGCAGGGGCAGGGCAGGGTGCCATAGGGGCATGGGGCATGGGCAGGGCACTACATGGGGCACAGACATGGCACCGCAGGAACATGGGGCATGGGCAGAGCACCACAAGGGTATGGGACATGGGCAGGGCACTGCACAGGCACTGGGCACAGCACCACATGGGCACCAGGCATGGCATGGGCACCAGCACCACACAAGCACTGGGCATGGCACCACACGGGCACTGGGCATGGCACTGCACAAGCACAGGCATGGGACATGGGCAGGGCACTGCAGGGGCACAGACATGGCACCGCAGGAACATGGGGCATGGGCAGAGCACCACAAGGGTATGGGACATGGGCAGGGCACTGCACAGGCACTGGGCACAGCACCACATGGGCACCAGGCATGGCATGGGCACCAGCACCACACAAGCACTGGGCATGGCACCACACAGGCACTGGGCATGGCACTGCACAAGCACAGCACCACGTGGGCACCAGGCACAGCACTGCACTGGCACTGGGCATGGCACCACGCGGGCACCGGGCACAGCCCTGGCCAGCCACAGCCACACACAGCCCCTGGCACAGCCATGAACCCACTGCCCCTCGGAGGGTCTTGGCAGCAGCACGGGACACACGCTGGTAAATCAGAACTTCACTCTCAGCTCCCACTGTGATTTTAACTCCTCAGAGCTGCCTCAGCTCCCGGAGCCTCATTTCCCATTTCTGGAGCAGGAGTAGCTGTCTCCTACCTTGTCCTCCTGCAAAATTTCCTCTGAGCGCTGCTGCACTCAACCCATCTCTGAAACAGGAATGCCAGGGTCCTGGGGAATGGAAATGCCAGGCCTGGCACAAAGAAGGATCTGGGAAAATCCCCAAATCCGAAGCCAATCCACCCCCTGCCAAATCCAGTGTTGCTCATGGGTTACTCCCCGGAGTTTGCACCGTGAGGTAAATTTGTGATGCTTTGTTGAGTAAAGTTTCCAAAGGGCCCATGTGGACCAGTGGTCACCCAGTGGTGTGCTATCAGCTCCCAGGAAACTCAAAGGACAGGAATTCATGGAGCCAGGCACAACTCAACTGTAGGATAAACCCACCCAGGCAAAATCCATAATAAAGGTGCACCCCAAGGAGAGCTGGATAAAACCCTGAGAGGTCACCCGTGCCCTCTGGCAGCCCTGGCAGGGTGGGCTGTCCCTGACCCACCCCTGGCAGACATTTCCCTGCCCCGCTCCTGCGCTGCTCCCTCCCTCTCCAAAGAGGGAGATTCCATCTTAGGAAGATTAACCGAGATGCCACCATTTCCCCGGGGATATCACATGGAAAGACAGGGGTGTTCTCAGCAAGCATCCAGCTGAAAACGCCTCCCCGTGCATCACCCCGGGCTGCGGGAGCTCCGTGGGATTCCGCAGTGACCCGCGCTCTGCCTCTGGAGCGCCAGGCTCGCTCTCCTGTGCAGAAAGGACCTCGGGCAGGCGTGTGGCACGGCTGGCACCCGAGCTGTGGGACAATGCCTGCGTGTGGGGGACAGGGATGTGAGCCCGGCAGGACAGGGAACAACCCCGGAGCCCACAGGGAGGGTCAGGCAGGCAGAGCGGTGACAAAGGACGGGGGGCTCCGTGCTGGGGACAGATGGGAGGGAGCAGTGGCAAGGAATCCACATCAATGAGGGCAGATGTAAGCACGCTACACGAGGGAGTTGGGGATGGAGCAAAGGTGGTGGAAATTGAGGGAGAGGCACACCCTGATCCCTCCAAGGGAGGAGGAGAACGAGGCGTGGGGGAGCAAAGGCAAGGCACCCCAAAAACGGCAAAGGGAAGGTGGGCAAGGAGAGAGCACGGCGAGAGGGAGGGGAAGGAGGATCTGGAACGGACAAAAGGACGCGTGGTGCAGTCGGTGGTGTGAGAAGGGGGGGAGGAGGGAGGGTCTCTGTGCAGGCCTGCAGACGGGAAAGCCAGCTTTGTGGAGACAGACAGATGGGGATCCTGCGCTTAAAAAACTGGAGAAAATCACCTCCTAGGAAATTAGACCAACTCCAGCACGCCCAGCAGCCCTGACCTCCAGCAGCTCTGAACTGGCACAGACAATGGGCAAACCATCAGCAGCCCAAACCCAGAGAACTCCACAACTTCCAGGGGCGCTGCACTGGTTTACATCAGCTAAAACCAGGCTGGGCTCAAATGTGATTTACTCACTTAGTGCCAAGGCTCTGGGCCCATCCCTGACTGCTTTGCACACCAAAAAGGGGCTGAGCCTCCTTTGAGATCACCCTGCTTCTGATGGAGCACAGCTGGATCAGGATGTGGCCCGTGGCATCCCAGCCAGATGGGCAGCACACCCCAGCGTGCTAATTCCAAACAAAATTTGTCCTGCATGGGGTGTTTTTTTGACACTTTCGTGCATAACCGAAATTTGGAAACACCGTGTAACAAAGCGTTTTACTCAGGGGATTATTCAAAGGGGAGGGAGGTGGAAGGGAGGGAATGGCCTGGCAGGTGGTGTCAAAATGAAGCTAAGGGAAGAAAGGGACCTGTGAAAGCAGCACTAATACATAACTTGGTGTATGTTCTCCTCGTTATGGCAGAGCACAGACATCAGTGTGTCGATCCCTGGCAGACCCCTGCCACTCGGATTTTTATATTAAACAGAGAATTAAGCCCTTTCTCATTGTGTTTCCACAGCCTACCTTCTATTACCCTGGGTTTTGTCAATAATGCAGATCCCAAAGCATTTCATGAAGGAGGCTATAAGCTCAGTTCCTCCCCTCACCCTTTTTTCTCTTTAATTTCACTGATTACCAATTGACTCAAAGTAAACGTGTTTGCAAATTACCTGAGTATACATCACAAACATTCCTGCACAGGACCAAGCCCTGGAGGAGTGGAGAGCCTCTGGTGCCCAGACCAGTCAGCTAACTGGAATTAA